ATTTCGCCGGTGGATAATGATGTCACGTCGATCGAATTCGGTGCCAACTATTACAATTGCAACATCCCCTGTTACTGGAGCATTGAAGCGCCTTTCATGTTCACCAGCAGGAGCTTTGTCTGCTCTAATAACAACACTATAGACATCTGATGGCATTTGATCCAGAGCTGTTTTAAAAAGGCGAATCAAATTGTTTTGTTCATGGAACATTGCCTGCAAGCTTGAAATGATCTCGCGTTGGATCCAAGAACTAATTGCGCAACGCTTGTCGATTTTGTGGTACATTTGGCCTTGAACTTTGAATGTTGGCATGTAACCGCCTTCAGATATAATTTTCGTTGCTCCAAACGAAGTCATTTGAAAGCAAGAGTTGTACTTGCGTATCTTTTTCAAAAAGTGGTTTGAAATAGGAGTTGTGCCAGAAAGGTAAGTAAGTAGTGGTTCAGGTGCCTCAATTAACGATGGCAAAACTATTTTACCATTTGAACAACACATTCCTGGTGATTCCTTTGCAAACTTCAAAGCATGGCAATGCAAACAAACTTTATTCATCGGTCCAATGGCGACATCTGCGTGATTTTCGTAGTCTCTGTTTTTGTCATAATTGTATGCCGCCAACATTAAATGTGTTCTTTCTCTTGAATGGGTCAATCGTGATAGATTAGTGCGAAGCCGTTCGTTGCGTTGTTCGGGATTTTCAGAATCTCTGGAGGTTGAAGCTCTCACACGATTTTGTTGTAGGCGAGATTCTCGTTGTTCCAGGGTTTCAGCGTCTCTGGAGGTTGAAGCTCTCACACGATTTTGCTGGAGGCGAGATTCTCGTTGTTCCAGGGTTTCAGCGTCTCTGGAGGTTGAAGCTCTCACACGATTTTGTTGTAGGCGAGATTCTCGTTGTTCCAGGGTTTCAGCGTCTCTGGAGGTTGAAGCTCTCACACGATTTTGCTGGAGGCGAGATTCCCGCTGGTTTTCCGTTTCCACATTTCTCGAGCTTGTCTCTCTGTTTCGATTTTGTTGAAGTCGGACATTTCGTTGATCTTCCGTTTCCGCCGTTCTGTATTCATTCGACTTATTTGTTTTGGGGTTTTTTCTTCCAATTGATGCTTTCTTTGGTGGCATGATTTTATTTTTTTGTGAATGTAAATAATAATACTTTGTATGTTGAACTGATCTCAGATGAAAAAGAATTCACTATCGTTTGCGCAGTCTCTACACTTGCTATGAGCGAATGTATTAGCTATGCGACCTTATATTTATGTAACTCAGGCAAACAATATAAATATGTTCTCTGAAGGTACCTTCTACTTAAAAAGATTAAAAATCCTTATATTTTATCTATGCTAAAACGTGTGCAAACAGCAGAAGATATTCTCTGCAGGTACTTTTCCTGCAATAAATTAAAAAAAAAACCTCTTATTTATCTGAATTAGTGTATACAGAAAAATTTCTTTGTACGTAGGTATTTTCTTCAAGAATGTTGTGGAAAAATCCCAAGATTTATGAAGCCATTGTTTAGGTAAACTTGGGAAACAAAATATACTCTTGTAAACAATATTTAACTACCTTCAACCGTAAAATAAAAACGAATGCTATAATTCTGCAGGTACTTTCCTCCCAAATAATTTGAAATTTTTAAACCCTTTTTTTACATATGTGAACTTAGGTAACAAAGTGTTTTCTATGTAGGTATTCTCTTCATGAATGTTGTAGAAAAATACCAAAATTTATACACCCAAATTTAGGAAAATTATGCAAGCAAAATCTCGTATGCGCATTAGGAAAAAATATTACAACATTTTTTATTGCAAATTTTATTATATTTTTTTAAGCCTTATTCAATAAGAAACAAAAGTTATGCATTAATATTGAGTACTTTTTTGGTTTTTAACTATTAAACAAATTCCGTTTTTAAATTGCAACCTGGTGAAAATTTACACAACTCTGGCATTAACATACATACATATGTTCACATATAGATTTAAAAATTTGGATTCGGCATTTTCTTTCTGGTAAGCTTTCGGTTTGACAGACTTTGAAGTTTATCACACTCTAAATCTTTGGTATTTCTTAAAAATATTATCCGATTTTATTTTCTTAAGTATGTGGACACTCTATACGATAATTGGTCTTAACTGAAACATTTCCCAATAGCTCCCGTTTGATACGTATCCTGCGAAATACTTTTTAATACACACATTTATGTCATTTAACTTTTTTTGAAAGAGGTGGCAACTCTACTCAAAAATATGTTTGGCGTGAATCTTTCTCCAATACCTTCCGTTTGGTACCCATATTGCAATATTTGATGTGAATTGCATTAGATATTCATTATTTTTAACTTTTTGACCAGGTGGCAACACTTATTAAAATATTTTTTGATGTAAATTTTCTTAAATATCTTTCTCAAATACCTTCCATTTGATATCTATACTTACTTTACTTGCATATTTAAATAAATTTTATTTTTCTGACAGGTGGCAACTCTTTCAAAAATAGCCAAACTTCACAGGAACACTCTCCGAGTTTCTATGAAGCTATCCTGGAAATTTAACAAAATCGGCTGAATGCTTTCGGAGTCTATAAGCTGCATAGATACATACATACATCCTTTTTTATATATATAGATTAATGTTATCGGGTTTATTTTTTATATATTGTTCAAATATAGACTCCCTGAAAAAGGCGCGGAAGAAAGCACCGAAACGCGTAGGAGGGAACAGGAAAATGTATTTTCGCATTTTATTTTACCAGCCGAAGTAGCTCCAACCCAACAAACAATTTTACAAGAATTTGACCCAGATTAACAAAATGGGGATATTTTTTGCTTTTGACATTCGCAAAAGTGACAAAGTCGCAAATATGTTTTTAGTTAGTTCATATTATCGAGCATGTACTGTATATTTAATTCCAGTAATAAGCTTTTTATATCTGACTCCATTTAGATGTGCTTAAAATAATCAATTACAAGTATTCAGGACCCGAAATAAATTTAAAAATGCAGTAAAAGTTTTAAAAAATATAAGTAAAATCGAGGTTGAATGTTTCACTCATTGTATAAAAAATATGTATAAAAAATAAGCAATTGCTTTAACTTAAAATTGTATACCTTTCACTTAAATTTGTTTGAAAAAATCGATTAAAAAGTCTGAAATTTTAAGAAAAAGGATTTGCTTAGGTTTTATGCATACGGCCCATTGTTTTTATACCCGAGCGCACTTGTGCACAAGGGTATTATAACTTTGTTCACATAACGGTTGTTTGTACAGGCAAAACGAATCGAGATAGATATAGACAAATGTATACATAAATTATCAGAATGAAAAGAGAAATCGATTAAGCGGTGACTGTCTGTCCGTCCGTCCGTCCGTCTGTGCACACGATAACTCGAGTTGAGATATCTTAACGAAACTTGGTACGTGAACTTCTTTTGGGCGTAGGACGGATGGTATTGAAAATGGGCGAAATCGGACAATAACCACGCCTACCTCCTATATAACGGTAATTTTAAGAAATACGAAAACTGCGATATTTTAGTAACTACTGAAGATAATTCACTCAAATTGATACTTACAATGAGTTTCAGACGCAAAACATGAATTTTATAAATTTTTGGAAAATGGGCGTAGCCGCGCCCACTTATGGTAACATGTGATTATGGTAACCGCTACACCAATTTCTTCCAAACTTGGCACAGTTGTTGGCCTTAGTACAGCATACTAAATGGCTGAAAATTTTAAAAATCGGACAATAACCACGCCTACCTCCCATATAACGGTAATTTTCAGAAAAACGAAAACTGCGATATTTTAGTAACTACTGAAGATTATTCACTCAAAATTGATATTTTCGACGAAAAATAAGAATATTACAAAATTTTGGCAAATGGGCGTAGCCGCGCCCACTTATGGTTACATGTGTATATCTTGGTAACCGCTACACCAATTTCTTCCAAACTTGGCACAGTTGTTGGTCCTGGTACAGCATACCAACTGGCCGAAAATTTCTAAAATCGGACAATAACCACGCCCACATCCCATTTAACGGTAATTTCGAGAAATACAAAATCTTCGATAAATCAGTAAATATTGAAGCTAATTTATTCAAAATTGATGATTGCAACAATTCTTTACCAAGAAATACGTTTATGACAAAATTTTGGAAAATGGGCGTAGCACCGCCCACTTGTGATCACATATATGTATCTCGCTAACCGTTCTAGCAATTTGTACCAAGCTCGGTATGGTTATTGTGCTTGCCACATAAAAGCAAACCGTTGAAAATTGTTGAAATCGGACTAAAATTGAGGCCGCTTTTCATATAACGGTAAATTTCAGAAATGCTTGAAATTTCAATATTTCGAAATTTAAGGACGCTAATTTACTTAAAATGTATACACCCCGGCTTATCATGTAGCGGTAGTTTTCGGAAAGGTGGAAAACATATATTTAATACTTGCGCCGGGTATTTAATGTTCGGCTCCGCCCGAACTTAGACTTTCTTACTTGTTTGTTTTACTTTTAAACCAAAATACTTCGAACTATTGATAACGGATGTCTTGTAATTTTTGTTATGATTTCTGACCACTAGTGAATATAATCGTATTATTATGTAAAAAAATTCGCGCAATCCGTTTTTTTTTTATTTGAACATTGGTAACCGATTTTTCAAAATTGCCATTTTTGGAATAACCCGAAATCTCGCTTTTGGAACAAAGGCGAATAATCGATCACTCTAATACATACATACGTATATATATGAAACAAATAATTTAACGATTACTTACCTCAGGAAATCTTTCTGCTTGTCCGTTTCTTGAGTTTGAGCGAGAGGAACTATTCATTGAAATGATTAATACGCTGCATA